GGAGCGGCCGGCCACCCAGCGCCAGGCAAGAAAACGCTGCCCCCTGGCTGTGCCCCGGGGGAGGGCGCCTGCTGCCCTGGGCCCGCTGTGCATACTGAGAGACCCAGCTGGAGAGAGACGCGAGGAGAATGAAGAAGCAGCGCAGTTACAGAGCGGCCGTCCTCATGCATATTCATCAGTCACCGGCTCAGGCCTCAATCAGCCCCTCTAGGATGAAGGGCGGGGGGAGCGGGAGCTACCAGGTGGGTGTGCAGCCCGCCCAGCCCGCCATGCTGACCTCGTCCCCCCACCCCTGCCCAGGAGGTGGCCAGCAGGGGTCCCAGGGCGCACTGCTGCCTGACGTGGATCGTGCTCCTCGCACACCGACCAGGCCGGCTCTACGCAACGGCTGCTACGCTTACCTCCCGTTCGGGGAGGCTCGGACGGCAGGCGCATGTCCCGTCTGAAAACGGAAGCCGCCTGTCAGCGAGTCGCTGCCTATGCTGACTGTGGGGGAGCCCAGAGCCAGGGAGGACCCTCCGTCCGCCGGGTATGCCCAGATCCCCTCAACTCCAGAGGCTTCTGGCCATTGGAACGCCACGCACGCCCAGGACCAACCTTCCCATCTTGGGAGGCAGGGGCGCAGGCCTGCTCCCTGGGGCAGGAGGGGCAGCAGCTGGACCCACACAGCGGCCGGCTGCGCCAGGGAGCGGCCCACAGAGAGGGGCTGCATTGGGGCAGCTTGGGCCAAGCTCAGGGTGGGAGCAGAATGGAGGTGGGTGGGCGGGGTGTGGCCACTGATGACTTAAGATGAACTCTGGCTCAGCTGCCAGTGCCCACACGTGTCCACAGGGCAGCCACCACACCGGAACTCGGGCCCCATGTGCTGGTGGGGGAACGGGCACACCGCCTGCGCTGTCCTGAGTGGGGAGGCCGCAGTCACCGTCTGACTGTCCCCGCCTGTCACCCCACAATGGCATGCCGCCCCGCGCATTGGCTGCCTTGCTGCCTGAGCTGCCTGCAGTCTCACCCACTGCCTGGGCTGGCGGGCGCTGGCGGTCAGTGGGCAGAGGGGTGCCTGGCTGGCCAAGGGCAGTGAGAGGGCCGACAGCCCCCAGCGCCCGGCCGCCCTGCCCGCTCACCAGACACCTCACACGGGGACATCGCACACTCACACCGTGGTGTGGCCAGCCGCCATCATCTCCAGAACGTTCCCTCTTCCCCAATGGACTGTCACTCCCCCTCCTTCTGGCCCCGCCCTCCACCTCCTGCCTGTGAACGGCTCCTCCAGACCCTTCCTCGAGGGGAGTCAGACAGTGTGTGTCCCTTGTGGCTGATCCACTAGGCAGTGTCCGGAGGCCCATCCGTATTTTACGTCAGTTTCTTTCCTTTTGAAGCCAAGTTACGTCCAGTGTCGGGATGGGCCTCACCGCTCATCTGCTCACCGTGGGTGGACGCGGGGTTCGGGCGCCAGATGCTGGGGTCCAACCCCAACAGGTCCCCAAAGGTGTGGACGGAGTCGGTGAAGAAGGAAAGACTCGGAGGCAGCATTCAGTTGATCAGCAGCCATGCCAGGATCTCCAGCCAAGTTCTGTTTAGGATCTCCAGCCAAGTTCTGTGTCCATGTTCTCTTGCTAGGTTCTCCAGCCAGGTTCTAGCCTGGATCTCCAGTCAGGTTCTGTTGCCAGGTTCTAGTCAGGTTCTCTTGCCAGGTTCTATCCAGGTTCTCTAGCCATGTTCTCCAGCCAGGTTCTCCAGCCAGGCTCGGTAGCCAGGTTCTGTAACCAGGTTCTTCAGCCAGGTTCTGTCTCTCCAACCAAGTTCTGTAGCCAGGTTCTATCCAGGATCTTTTGCCATGTTCTCTCGCTAGGTTCTGTCTCTAGGTTCTGTCGCCAGGTTCTCTAGGCAGGTTCTCCGGGTTCTGTCTCTAGGTTCTAT